CTCCTGGCCTGCCCCGCTGCCCCCATCCAGCCCTGCTTCCGGAGGCTGGTTCTCCTGTCCTCCTCCTCCCGATCTCCCCCCTTCCCAGCCAGCCCTGCTCCCCTCCCAGCAGCCACGCTGAGGCCTGGTATTTTTTTCCGGGCCACGGCCCATAGTTTAGGAAACACTGCTAAACTATCTGACAAAATGCTAAAAGACCTCAAATCTGCAAACATTTTTTTTTCTCTCTCTCTCAAGAAAATGTAGAAGAATTGTAATTGTGTGATCAGGGTCTAAATTTACAGAACAATACCTATAGATATTCAGCTTTTTGTACTCTCAGAGGTTTCCAAGATTCTACTGACATTACATTAGGGCAGTTTACCTGGTTTCTTCTTACTAAGATATATAAAGCAGGAAAGCACACTTTATCTTCTTCATCCTTTTACTTTGACATGACTCAACGAGAAACTGGCAGTTTTGATTGAGACGCTCTGCACTTCAATCACTACTTTCTTGTTAGACTATATGCTACATATTTCAAGTGTTGTTTGCTTGTTTTTTACCTGGAGTGAAGCTGAGAATGATAATGATGAGCCCACAGATATTGTGTGTAGGGATATTAAATGGCGTTTAATCAACTAATTAACTAGAAATTTCATCAACTAGTCGATTAGTTGATAATGGGGGGAAATTGCAGAGTCACAGAGGGAGCTAACACCGCTGCGGCTCTGCCTTTTAAACTTATTAAGAGCTCACGCCTGATCCCCACTATGCCTCTGCCTCTCCTACTCCTCCCTCCCCCGCAGAGATGGTGCTGAAGGGAACCAGCTTTTAAACTGGCTCCCCCCAGCACTGCCACCTGCTTCCCCCTACCCCCTTGCTGCCTCTGATATAGAATGCGAGTAGTCGACTCAACTACCTGATAAGCCTAGGCGTCACTACTTGATTATCCGATAAGCATATATTCTTATTGCATAATTGACTAGTTGCTTACATCCCTAATTATGTGATCAGGTATTCCCCACTTAATAGGTCTTGGTAAATATTTTCTACAATTTGAAGATTCAGTTTAATTATTCAATAATAATTGAAGTGTCACATGCTTGTACACTGAGGTCACTACAAAAAATTAATAAAAATATGCATAATTTAATCCTGATTAGGGATGTGACAGTGTAAACAAGTAAATGGTTAATTGATGAGTTTGCGCTCATTGGTTAACCCTTACAGTTACATGCAGCCCTCCCACCACTACTTCTATACCAGCAGCCAAAGGGGGAGCAGGTGAGAGCCAGGCATGCAGGGAGCCAGTTTTTAAGCAGGCTCCTCATGAACACCAACTCTAGGAAACTGCCTGTCTCTCTGGTGCTGCTGCTGCCTCCAATACAGACACAGGAGGTGGTACGCAGGGGGAGCCAGCCACCATCTCCTGCCAAGATGCCCTCCCCTGTGTGTAAACGTGTACCCGTTGAAAATTTAGCAGGTACACATTTACCAAAATTAATTTTAACATCCCTAATCCAGAAATAAGCATACTCTGAAGTCATGCAATCAAAAGGAGGAAACATAGGGATGTCTATTTATGTGCTGCCAATATTTTTCCCTGTAATGCAACGATGCTTAACTCTACACCCAGGGGCAGCTTCCACTCCCTAGAGCCAATTCCCTGTAGTTTGCCAGGCCTCCATTCTCCTCTTTAAAACATATTTCTTCAAGGTTTACAAAACCCTTTCGCAGAGACACCCCCTCACAAGAGCATAGGGACTTAAGGGAGCTGTTCTGCCTCTCCCTCCCCTCCACAGGCTCTAAGGCAGTGGTGGGCAACCTGCAGGCTATGGTCTACAAGTGGCACATCAGGGTTCTGTGTATGGTACCTGAGACATTTTGTTTATCATTGCCCATGTGTAGAGTTGGCAGATTCTGCTGGTTTTTGTCCACTTAGTTTTTTTCCTACCCACATTACTAAAGTGAAAAGCACATAAAGTGGGGCATGTGCTGACTGCACACAATATTGACCATGCAGCTCTATGCGTCCTCTGCATCCAAAGTGCTGCTACTGTTTAGATTACAGACAGACACATACAGTTAGCAAAACTACCTATCCCAAGAGACTATCTTAGTTACATCAATCTTGAGGTCACTGAGGCCTTGTCTACACTTACCACTGCAGGGACCCATCTCCCAAGCCCAATAAAGAAAAACCTGCTAAATCGACCGCTCACCCCGCCCCTGGACTCCGCGACAGCACAGTTATCGCGGGTAAGGGCAGCGGACGGGAGGAACTGGGGACACTGCAGAAATCCGGACTATGGGAGGCCGATTCCAGCCGCACTCACAGCTCGACCGACCCCCCTATTAGAGCCGGACACTCCTGGGGCCGACTCGCGCTTCCCTCCCTCCCAGCAGCGGTGCCTAACTGAGGGGGAGGCTCTCACGAGCCGCGGGGAGGCGCCAGGCTTGTGTCTCATGTTGCTCTGGGCCAGCTCATTCCCGGCGCGAGAGGCCGCTGCGGACGAGACACCCCCTGGCCGCGCTGGACCCGGGTTCGAGCCCCGC